AACTAATGCCTATCCATCTTAAACTCTTCCAAAAAATTGAGAGAGGGAATACTTCCAAACACATTTTATTAAGCCAATATTAACTGATACCAAAACCAGCCAAAGACAACAGAAAAAAAAAAAAACTAATACAGATCAATTTCCCTGATGCAAAAATCCTCAATAAAATCTTACCAAAATGAATTCAATAATGCATTTAAAAAATCATATATCATAACCAAATAATATTTATTCCAGGGACACAAGAATAGCTCATGGCCCTCCCTGTTGGCACAATGGGTTAAAGCGCAACACTACTGCAAACTAGTCATAGCTCCTTAAGTGCTCAGTTTGATCCCTGGCCCCGGGTGATCTACATGGCACGGCAGACCTCTCCTGACCAGCCCACTGTTCCCTCAGCAGTGTACTTCATCAATCTGCCTGTTCTGTTCCCCACTTTGTCTCTGGTGAATACTCTCACCACCCCTGCACCTCTGGGCTGTACCCCAGTTCTGTATGCATAAATAAATCAATCATTTAAAAAAAAAAAAAAGAGTAGCTCAAAATCTAAAAGCCAATCAACATAATTCACCACATCGACAATAGGAAATATAAAAACCTTATGATCTTATTAATAGATGCTGAGAAAGCATTGGATAAGATTTAACACCCACTTGTGATAAAAAACCCTCAAAAATGAGGATGGATGGAACATACTTCAATATAACAAAGGCTATATATGACAAACCCACAGATGACATCATTTTCAATGGTGAAAACAAAGAAATGGAGATGTTTTCTGATCCTGGACTGGAAGAATCTACATTGATAAAAGAGCTATCTTACTCAAAGCCATATACATACCAATGCAAAGTTTCAATGGCATTTTCAAAAAAAAAAAAAAGTCAGAACATTACTGTAATTCATATGCAACAACAAAAGATCCCCCAAAATCAAAGCAATTCTGTCAAAAATGAGGAAAAATTGTGGTATCATACTTCCAGACTTTGAATTACACTACAAAGTTCTACTAATCAAAGCTCTATGGTATTGGAATGAAAACACAGACACAGAAACACAAAACGATGTAATAGACTTAATAGTCCAGAAATAAACCCACACTTATATGGACAGTTAATCTAAGACAATGGAGCCAAATATATAATATATATTGGAGAAAACAAAATCTCTTCAGTAAATGGTCTTGGGATACAGAGAAAACCTACATGCAAACGATTAGGATTCATACCATGTATAAAACTTAACCATAAAATTCATAGAAGAAAACATAAGCAAAATAATTTAAGACACAGGCTTCAATGATACCTTTGTGCATTTGTTTTTAACTGCAAAATACACAAAAGAGAGGGCCCTCCCTGGTGGCGCAGCAGATTAAAGCACAGCACTAAGAGGCTTAGGCCACTTTTGCATGAGTTCGATTCCTGCCTGCCCTGGAGGAGATCCATATGGCGAGGCAGACTTCTGACCCATCCGCTGCTCCCCTCAGCAGTGTACTTCGTTGATCTGCCTGTTCTGCTCCCCTCTCTGTCTGGTGAATCCTCTTACCCTCTGCATCTCTGGCCTGTACCCCAGTTCTATATGAATAAATAAATAAATCTTTTTAAAAAAATACACAAAAGAGGCCCTCCCTGGTGGCGCAGCGGGTTAAAGCACAGCACTGAGAATCTGAAGCCACTTCCGCATGAGTTCGATTCCCGCCTGCCGCCT